TTTATTGCAACTGGCTAAAGTCTTTGAAACTACTTGTTACCTTATTTGATAAAAAGTAGCCTTATCACTTCCTGGCCTATAAAACTATCCCTATGCGGAAAAACCTATCCATCCATTCGTCTTGTTTGTTTGTATAACTTTCATTATATCAAATTACTATTCAGACTTGATACACTTAATTCATTTGTATTGATTAAATAGATGAGAGTCCCGGTTTGATTGAGTCAACCTGCGCCGTTGGCTTAACCAAACCCCCAATATGCAGACTGTCAATACTGACGGCAAATAGCAAAGCTAACTTACTGACTTGTCTTGAATACCTTGCTCTGTTGTAGTAAATGGGCGTTTGAAGTCAAAAAGTAAGCACAAATAATTCAAATCAGATTCGAAATTATTTTTTTCCTTAAAATCTATATATCGATTCAAAATTGGCAAAGATACCGTGTAACATGCGCACAAAAAATATAACTCAATTGAGTATCTCTTCCTTGTTTAAAGTTAATCCAAAACTTTTTTTTAATTTAAGAAACACATTCTAAACACAAAATTTGTTTTAAAGGTAACTCTTAAAATGGAAACAGTTATTTTAGAGTTACGTATAGAAAATAATCATTTACCATATACGCCGCGATATATAAGCATTTAATTCCTCATACAGGCTGCATTTAGATAGAGCATCAAGGGATTTGCGTAAGGCACGTGCTGAAACGTTTCGCCCGGCGGCAATTTAAAACCCATCAAAATACGTGAATTTTATTTGCTTCGTATAAAATGGAAGAGAAAATTGGGATTTATTTTTTTATTACCTGAAGTATATAAATGGATGTGTAACAGCTAAAAACAATTTAGAGAATAATATTTTTCCTTATTTAAAAAGTTAACTTTTTTTCAATTTAACCTGTCATATTGTACGAGTATATGAAATAAATAACTTGTATCTAACTTTAGTAGCAGTTGTATTTATTTATAAACATAATATCAATATATCTCTGTAAGATCCTGAAATAAAGAAATGGGTGTGTCCACTTACTCGAGTATGGGAACAGTGCACATTGTCGATAAATAGATATTCAGGAGGCACTTGCGAGTCAATAACACTTTGCTCGGGGGAGTTACAAAATCTTGCTTCCTATTGTTTTTTCAAGATAAGCCTTTTCAGTATTTCGTTAAACATTCGTAAAAGCACATATCCAAGTAAATGAGATTCATAATACATTTTTTCCATTTGGCCATGAAACAAACAAACATTGCAATGTATGTTTAACATAAAACCGTTTAACTTAAAAAGTTTTTTTACCTATTTTTATTTTCTAGTTTTTAGTTTTTATTTCGCATTCTGTTTAATTCATTTAGTGCTTTGTTCCCACGAGTAATGGACATTTAAACGGTCGACCCCCCCAGAGGTCCAATAAAGGGGCAAGGCTATGTACAACAAGATGCGCCTGAGTCTTGAGGGGAAAACGCTAACGACATATCATTTTTATCCACCCTAATGCCATACAGTTCTCGGCGCGTTTTAACCTTTCACCTTAACTTGGGTGGTGTACCGCTAACGACGTATCATTTTTAGCCACCCTAACGCCACACAGTCCTCAACACGATACAAAATCTTGACTTGGGTGGTGGATTCAGGCTGGATTAATCAGATACCTAAATTACAGATTCAATTTCTAAATTTAAATCTTATTATTATACGCCATTTGGTGGCTGCGCCCATTTTAAATATTGAGGTTGTATAGTGCACTGTATTCTTCTTGTCAAGCCCTTTTATTTGATACCCATATTGGTGGGATTGATAAAAAATTGTTATCAGCCATTTGGTAGCGGCGGCCATCTTAGATTTCAATTTTGCATAGTAAATTGTATTCTAATTGTTGAGACCTTTCATTTGATACCCATGTTGATGGGATTGATAAAACCTAAGTTATCCGCCATTTTGTAGAGGCCGCCATCTTGGATTTTAATTTTATATAGTACATTGTATTATACTGGTTGAGCACTTTCATTTGATACCCATATTGATGGGATCGATAAAACCTACGTTATCCGCCATTTTGTAGCGGCCGCCATCTTGTATTTCAATTTTTAATAGTATACTAGCGGACCCGACAGACGTTGTCCTGTCTACACGTCTTTAATTTGAAAATTTCAAACTTTTTTTAATAATTTTTTTGATGAAAATTATTATTCAAATTGTGAATCTAAACCATTCCCAGATCCCCTTGAACACACACAAAAAATTTCATAAAATCGGTCCAGTCGTTTGAGAGAAGTTCAGTGACATACACACTCACAGAAGAATTATATATATAAAGATTGTATTTTGCTTGTTAAAATATATTCAAATAAATAAAACCTACGTTATCCGCCATTTTGTAGCGGCCACCATCTTGGATTTCAATTTTTTATAGTTTAATGTATTCTGCTTGTTAAGCCCTTTCATTTGATACCCATATTGATGGGATTAATAGAACATAAATTATCCGCCATTTTGTAGCGGCGGCCATCTTGAATTTATAATGATAATGAATAAACATAATTGTATTGTCACCAAAATCCAAAGTGTATACAAAATTTCAGATTAATCGGTTGACAGGAAGAGGGTGAAATTTGAAATACTAAATTTGACCCAAGAATAATAAATAAAACAAACGGGGTGAGCTAAATAAAACCGTTTAAAAATTGTTTAAATTTGTAACGAACACTTCATATTTCGTTCTAATTAAAGAAGAATATCGGTAGCCTCTCTACATGATTTTTCGATAGTATCTCAAAAAGTGATTTATTTAAAATATATGTTTGCCTGCACAACTCTATTTTGGAAGAACTCCTTTGGTGAAAATGAGCTAAGCATTATCTCTTTTGGGTTTACGCCAAGCGAACTGCAGCTTCAAACGAACTGAATTAGAATTAGTTTGAATTCTGCCAAATTTATAAATAACTATGCAAAGAATGTTATGAGTTTATTTCATTTAAAGAACCATAAATGGTATAGAAACGAGATATTAAGCTTTCATTCCTTGGAATAGAAAATTTATCAGCAAATATTTTCCTATATCATTAGTAATATTATAAATAAAGAGGCAGAGTTTGTTTGAACGCGCTAATCTCAGGAACAGCTAATCCGATTTGAAAAATTCTTTTTCCGTTAGATGGCCCATTCATTGAGAAAGACTGTAGAATATATATCATCATGTGGAGGGAGCGGAGAAGTAGCCATAAATGTCAACAAACCGGGCAGACTTCCATACATTATTGTAAAGGGAAGGGGAAGCAGTTGGTTCAGGCAAAATCGCAGGTTCTGCTAGTTTTATATATATATTTTTTATTAGAATTTAAATTAAATGAATTTAAAACGCGAATATTTTTACATACTTCAACGTAAAAGACTTAACAAACTTATATTATAAAGTAGTACAAATTAGATCTTCAGCTTCAACACGTGTAGTTTTAATTAATAGGGCTCTTTGTATTTATTTAATTACTTGCTTAAGAAACTTTATTTACCGTATTAGCTTTAACAACTCATCTTGTACTTTAAAGGCTAATTTTTAAAATACCACATCAAAAGCGTTTCTCTATTGTTATATAAATTATTGTCTTAGATTATAGCAAGTAGTAAATAGCTCATACAACTTATTACAAAACAAAATTTCTAATATTTTTTCTTGTATATCTTAAAATATTGTCGGCTGGCACGGACTTCGAAAATATCTGATTAGATATCTATAGTAAACGATAAATTCCCATTCAATTATTTTTTACTTTTTAGTGTTTTGAAGTCGTTTTTTTTTTCTAAAAAGTTTTTATTTTTCCTTTTGTAGTGTAGATATAGTAGTAGCAAAGTAAGAAGGAAGTATTTTAATATAATATTAGCTTAAGCCATTTAAATTAGTTTGATGCCAATTTTATATGAAGACAGACAAATTAAAATTCACTTTTATTAGTATTCTTAAAATTAAGGTTCTAAAATCCAATTCTAATGTATAAGATTTGTCAAATGAAACAAAATAAGCCCAAACTCAAAGTATCTTCTATTAGCCGTTGAAGAGTTCCACTATCCAACTTCTGGCCTTACCACCAGATCAGCTCGATGATATCGAATCATTGCACTATCAATGGAAATACAGAAATACAAACACTTGCAAAGTTTGAAATTAATATGACAATAATTATAAATTGGTTAAATTTTCATTAGCTATTTTTCCACCATTAGAGACTTTTTTTTCAGTTTAAATGGGATCAAACTTTAAATATTATACACCTTCAAAAAAAAAAAGAATTTTCCAAATCTATACATATAACTGTAGAGGTCGAATATCTGTACATAGAAAAAAATGCTAAAAACTGAGTCAGGAGAATGTAAAAATAGAAATAGAACAAATCCAGTTTTTTTTTCAAATTTTTTGTGTCTCTATCTGTTTGTCTGTTGGTACGGGCTAATCTCCGAAACTGTTAGAGCAATTTAAATGAAATTTTGCATGGTGGTACCTTATATCTCCGGCCTACATTTTAGATACTTTTTATCCCGAAAAATCAAAGAATTCCCGTGGGATACTTAAAAAAACTATAGTAATTTATACAGCTTAGTACACAACAATTTCCTACAGGCGAACCCGAACGAAGCAAGAGTGAGACGCTAGTCGGTTAGTAAGTAAATAACGAAGTTCTGAGGTAGCAAACAAAAAAAATACAACTGAATTGAGAACCTCAGTCGGTTGAAAAGTATAAGTCAAATAAAAACACCTGTTCCTATTTTTTTTAATAATACTTCTACTAAACCTTTTCTTTAGAAAAGTAAAGTAGAGTTTAACCGAAGTAGAATACTCTTATTTACATTTAAAATTTGTTTGTCGCATTGATAGTAACTAAACCGCATAAGACCGTAAAATAAACTTCATTCATAAAAGATACAAATATATCTATCACTTCACACAGACATTGATAGTTTGTACAAAAATAAAGTAAAAATTTGGAAAAAAATAGTATGCAAAACTCACCTATCGTTGTAAGCGCCAGCGTGCACCAATAATAACTTTGTAGATACTGTTTCACTACATCCGCAGTCTCTGTGTCATGATACACCCAATTTTTACTACCAAACCCATTGTTTTTATATATAATATGGTACAAGCACCCGTTCCAATGAAATATCACTAACAAATAATGAATTAAACTTGTCGATCTAAACAGATTAGGATAGTTCGTATGCCGCTCGGTGCGGTCCATGAATGCCCAGAAACGATAGATCTTCACCAGTCTAAAGGAGCGTAGGATAGAGTTGAAGCCTATAGACAGGTAGAGAAAGTCCAAAGGCAATAAACAGAGACAGTCTATGTAGAATGTTGTAGAATTCATATAATGAGCCCTTAATTTCGCAGCGTCCGTTTGTAAAACCCCATCTTCTAAATATCCCGTCCGGAAGTGAAACAATATGTCCGCCAAATATAGAAAATCCGAGAAATAATCCAAGCAGAACCAAACTATGAGCGTCTCTCCTGAAACAAAACAAATGCATATTAGCAATTTTAAAAGTCATGGAATATGTGCATTGTCTATATCTGCACATGTAATAAAATTCTAATAGAGTCGAATCTGTACACTAAATATTTTTTTGAAAATCTTATTTCATATAGTCATTATTATCGATACAGAGGCCGATTCTATAGTTTTTAGAACTTTTGTTTGTCTGTGTGTCTGTGACTGCATCACAATAAAATCGCTGGACAGATTTTGTTAATCATAGCTGGTTATACGACTCAACATATAGAATACTTTTTACTGCGAAAAAATATCTCATTTCTGAGGAATCTATACTAAACTTTAAAACATAACTAAGGACGAACCCGAGTGGAGTGAGAGTGAGTTGCTAGTTAAGAAATAATAATAAACATAAAAGACATGTGAACAAAACTGTAGGAGAAACTGGAAAGTTAGTTTAGGGGTCTATAGCTATAGTCTATAGCCAACTCCAAATAGCAATCATAATAAAATGCGTAACAAACTCATTTCAACTGCAGTAGTGAAATAAAACAATAGAGAACTTGGACGGTAAAACATTGACACGGGTATAAAGCCCTTTCTAAGCATCACATTGTCTTCGCCGTGAAACGTTAAACTCGTAAAAGCTATTTAGGTAAGTAATTTAATTCTTCACGAAACAAGTTAAGGAAAACTATGCGTTGAATGCTCTAAGTCGCTGCAACCTATATCGCTGTACTAATCTAGCCTGCTATCTTAAACGGAGGCGTCTTTTGCATAAGAACGAGAATCAAAATTGGATTTTTATCCATTTAATCGTTTTCTTTCAACTTCATTCATCGATAGAAATAAACGAAGGTGTTATAAAGAATGTCTTCATTCAAAGGATTGCGCTTAAAAGGAACTTTACAAATCACATTAAAGTCGCTCTTTTAACTTAATTACTCTTTAATTGTGTGAAAGTGGCCTTTGTTTTTGAACTGTAAGTTCACAAAGTTAGATTTACTTAAATTGACGAAATAATATAGACTTACCATTGATTTCTTGGAAAGCGAACCTATAGACGATGACCCAAAGGTTGTAAAGGAAGGCGAGTGAGACTACCATGGACCAGTAATAGCACAAGCGGCCGGCCGGGTCGAACACGAAGGACCAGTGCGGACCAGAGCGTAGCCGCCCGCTGGCGTACGTCGACCGTCGGCGAAGGCCTCCCCTGCTCCCGCTGCATCCAAAACAAACTTAATGTTTACACTTTAATAAAAAAATAATTTTAATAAAATTTAGTAACTTCACTGTTTTTTTTTTAATTTAAATAAAATGTCACCCAAATAGTGTGCCTATATAAACTCTACCAGCCTTTTCTCTTCTTAAGGAAACCCACTTTTGTCAAAATAGAATATTAAATAAGACTGAAATACATTTAAACTAATGTCAAGAGATGGTGATAATAACGCAGGCCGTGAGTAAAAATATATATTGTGATTTAGAAGGTCTAATTTGTTAAGTACCCTTTCTGTCAAAATGTCGCACTCTGGGATTAACAGAAAAAGAGACTGTGATAGTATTTTTTTTTATTTCTGAAAGGAAGAAAATATTAGAGCCCTTAAACTATCTTTTCGGATTTTATATTATTTCGGATTAAGTATTATATTTTTGGTGATTTTTCTTTTCTTTCAAAATGATGTAATTTTATGCATACCGTACATACATTTGGATCAGGGAGCAACTGGCAACATTAATTTCAGTACAACTAGTAATTTCCGTGGAATATGTCTGTGCGCAGCGCAAGCAGATTACCTACTATACTACGTATTAAGTAATTAATAACGCCCATTGTAGCACTATATGACAAGTACCTGCGAATGGAAAGTGAATAACGATGTGGAATTCAGACTATCAACTCCGATTTTAAAAGGAAGCAAAAATGAATGTAACTATATCGTAAATTATTCATTAGGCAACCACATTGAAGAAGATAATATTAAAATCCATTCAATCGTTCATAAAACTGCTGAAAAGCGTAAAAACAAGCGCATATTTTAATACAAGTTCAATATATATATCACTGAATAAATTTATTCATTCAAATTCAAATCATTAACAATGTTTTATAAATCCCATTGGAATAGAGCTTTAGTGGAAGCTTATCGCGACAGTAACATGTAAATAAAATTATATAACATATAAATCCAATATATAACTATATGTTGTGTAAGTAGTATTTACATAGGATAATTCAATTGAATGTATGCCAGCCAACTCAATTGTTATGCAATATATTGAAATTCATTCCACTCTAGATATTAGCATAAATCAAAGACAGTGTTAGTACAAACAATGTGGTAATTCGAGACGTTTAGAGAGATCGGGTGTCACGGTCCTATTAGATATAAGCTTGACAATTCATGTACTTCTATGATCACACTAACGGGCGATCCAAATAGTGATTCATTTCAGGTATCATATATGTAAGAAACTCTACACTCAATAACTACTAACTACATAGAGTCTAGGCTAGCGTTTGACTGAAGTAATTGTTTGGAGTTCGCAGATTGGGTTTGATATTTGGATATAGGTTATCCTGAGTGATAATAATTGAATATCACGTTCACTACCTGAGAGCATACCGCAAGGATATCAGGAGTATTTCCAATTAATTCAGGAGGCTTTCGTATTGTATTGCGGTAGTGATGGCAGATTCATTATATTTGACTGACACAATTTCAATACCTCGAGTATTCGGCCTGACGCTTTGCATAAACTTTATAATAACTTTATAATAGGACCAACTTTTGTTCGACAGTTTGTTCACGTGAAACGCATAAAAATTTATGGTGTTGAAAAATTATTCATTAAATAAAAGGCTAACGCTCGCTTCGTTTAGGCTGTGACTACACTCCACGCATCCTAAATAACTAAAATGGTACAGGAACAACTTGAAGTAAGCTAAAAACATTCTATGTCGATCGTAAATCATATAACTTCCTATTAGACAGAAAATATTCAGAATAGTATTAGTAATTTTAGAGATTACCTGCTACAACCAAACTCACAATTTATACTTCTTTTTAAACAAGTTCTATTATGTCTATTTACAATCACTTACAATAGTACACACAAATATAAAAATAGAACTAAGAACTAGAAAGTAAATATAGTAATTACATACAAATCAATACAGCATACACAGAAATATTTTTTTTAATATTATACAAAATATATTTACGAGCGTAGCCGCAGGCAGAAAGCTATAGCAAAACAAGAATAACACTTTAAATATATATGTAACTTAAAAACGAAGGAGAAGGAGGGAGACTGTAAGCTTCGGGTGTATATAGCATTTAGTCTTTAACAATCACGTAGATGTTAGCCTGTTAGGCTGTTGTATGTAAATTAAAAGGCCCATATTAGCCGAGATATACGAATCTAAAATCGTAAACATTGAGTTGTACTCTCTTACTTTAATTTTGGAAAGATGGAGTAGAAAAATACGCACAAAATAGAGGCAGTATAGCTTGATAAATACCTAAAATGAAAATTTATTTACAGAATATAACTACGTTTAAATTTTTTTTAAGATACTGGATATTTTGAATTGCGTATTTGCATATATCTTTAATAAATAATATAAAACACGAACTCATTTTTACGAATGTGTGTATTGCGAAAAAGTGATTTTTTTTCGTAATTTGATCTTGGGCGAAGCCGCGGGTTCTGCTAGTGTTGTAATATTTCAATTTATATCATGTAGCAAAATATGAGGAGAACTGCAATTGTAAGCGTCAGATACTGTATTATTAAATAATATAAAATAACTTGTTCACAAAGCAAATTAATTTACAGAAATAGTATAACTAAGTTTAATACACTAACGCTAGGTAAACAATTGTGTTCTATAAGTTCACGTTTGATTAAATAAGGGAACTAAATATAGAGACAGTTGTTTGTTGAAGTTACAAGTAGCGAAACAGTTATTTAGGTTTTTGAAGTGCATAAAAGCTTTATTAAAAGTTGTTGATAAAATATTTTTTCTAGTGACCCGCCTTCACTTTACTTATGTCCTGGCATGAGAGTGGCTATTTCTATCTGACTACCGTACCTATTTACCTATTATGATTTTTAGCAATTTACTGATATCTTATAGGAAATTATGGAATATATGAACAAACACTTTACGGTAAATCAATTATTTAAATAAATGTAACTTCGAAATATATCCTTCTACGTAGTCGTATCTATGTACATAAAATCCCATAAGAGATCATTGATAAATTTCAATTGACATTCGCATTTTAATTTTAAGCCGCTTCCTAAGTATTGCGTACTGTTTTTTATTTTGTTGTTTTTGCTAGAATTAAAGAGTAATTAAATCTTTTGTCTTCTGCTACGCTAATATTACAAAGAAGTATAATTTTGGAAGTTTGTACATAAGAGCTAACCTCTGAAACTACTGATAGATTCTGAAAAATTTTCACTAATAGGAAGCTACATTGCCAGTAAAAATAATAGCATGATTTGCTTCTCTTCCCCTTGAAAGAGAGATTACTCATTTAATTTTTTTTGTTTATAATAAAATAATCTATTACCTATTTTTATTTTTTTTCGGACCTTACTGTCATAAATTAATTAAGTGTAATTGTAATCGGAAGAAAAAATGTAGTTTAGTGGCCTTACTAGTGTGTACTATCTAAACATTTTAAAATAGAGCCTAAAGGGTACGGCTAATCAATATAATAATCAAGCCTTTTAATAAAAAAAAATACCAATCGAATTGAGAAGCTCCTCCTTTTTGAAGTTCTTACCTGTCAGTGCCGTTACAATGCGGTGTAGCGAGGTGATTGTGGGAGTGGTGCGGTGCGGGCGTGGCGGGCGTGTGCGGCGTGCTGCGCCAGCCGCTCAGTAGTGGCGCCTCGCCACTTGCACCCAGCAATTTTAACCTGGGCAAAAAACTATATACAATACATTTTAATATATTTATGATCATTCATATATTAATAAAATTGATATTTAATCAATAATATCTTTGTTGTTGTAAATAAAAATAAGTTGTAAACAATTAAATATCAAATCATTTGTTCAGGGAAGTTTGGGATATAATAAAAACGATGCCTCCAGTTTATAAAATAGTAAAACAAATAGTAAAATAGTAAAAAAAATAGTAAAAATATAAATTTATTAAGGATTCCCGTGAAAACGAGATATTTTCCTGCGTTCAAAAGTAACATTTATCTCCCATTCCAGCTATCCTTATCCTCATACTAAAATATACATACATCTTATCTATTCTTTTTTTAAATTCATTCTTTTTAAAATGTTAAAAATGATTCAAACATGCATACATTTTACTTTGATTTTCATTGATATAATTGATACATGCTTTAGTATATTATGTTAAGTGTAGTTCTTAACAATCTACTGACAAGTAAACCTTTTATCTATAAGCAATGCATAAGCTCGAGTAACAATTTTATATTCAGAAATAACAAACACAAATCAGTTTACAAGTATACATGTGACCAACATTAAAAATTGGTTTTCCTATGCATCTTGGAACCTAAGGCTAAAGAGAAACTCAGAAGATGTTAGCTGTCGAACCATGAAATGAGATATAAACGTTCAAAAATATGATCGGTTTCAAAGCGACGACGTCGCTTGGTTTGCTCATAGCCATACGAGTATTACTAGTTTAATATAGCGGAAGTGAAACGTTACATTTCCCTGGATATGGATGTGAATGGAAAAGTCTTCGAAATATATATTTTCTTTACGACTTGGTAAGCTTAAATCGAATAGTTGTAAGTTCAAATTTTATGTTGTTGTATTATATTATAGCAGCAACATGTTTCTCAGTGTTATATAATAGAGGTATTAAATATTTTGTGTATACAAATATATTTACGATGAAGTCAAGTTACTTTTGACCAACACTGTATGTATAAGTAATACATTTTTTTTGTGCTATCTAATTGGAGCTGCAATATAGAGTTGCATCCTTAATTTTAATACAGAATTTATTTATTAGGTTCTAGTTGAAGAAAATAGACATGGATGTTATAGATTTACACAAGAAAACATTATTAAATAAAACTATCTTTTCGGATTATTTCGCGGATTTATTTTGATTTTTGGTTCCCGACGTTTCGAATGCTTTACAGCATCCATGGTCACGGGAGAGACTGAGGTGTTACATGTCTTAAAGGTATAGTTGTTACAGACAGCCTACCCACAATTAACAAAATGAAAATTGCACCAATTACATTACAATATTTTTTAACTTTAAACATTTTTATAATTTTAATTATAGTTGAATATGGAAAATTATTTATTTAATTTTTGCTATTATTTTTATAATTATTACAATTTTAAAAATATTAATTAGTAATCTATATTTAGTGTTGCCATTATTATATTTATAACCATAAAGAAAAATATAAAATATAGTATTAATTATTAAAGCCATATAATTGTTCTATGTGTAATTTAAAAAAGTTAAAATTAATTAAGGATAATAATTTTAATTTAGTTTGCTATTATTTAAAAACAACTTGCTAAGCAACACTATTGATATATATTTTTACAAATGAAAAATATTAATCTGATAAGCTGTCATTTTGATCTACACAGTATGAACTTACTACATCTGCCTGTCTGTTATGTTTATATTTATTATTTGATTTTATTATATTAATAACAGAATCCCATGACGATGGTAGTACCCAGCCATCTTCCTATTGAAATTTGGAGATTTTTTAATTTCTATGGCTTCTCGAATCATTCTAGGGCGATATCGGTTTTCTTTCGCAAGGATTTGAGGTCTATCGAAACGAATATAATGGCTTGGGCGGTCCTGGCTATGTTTGCAGACAGCAAATGTTGTATTGCGACGGTGCTTCACATCAGCTATGTGTTCTTTGACCCGGGTTCTAATGGATCGCTTTGTTTGTCCAATGTTATATTTTAATGTGATAGTTTTATTTAATAATGTCAAACATTCGCGTAAATCTAAGAAAGTATTACTCAAGAAAATTTAGTGACGCATCTATTGTAAGCTTTGCACCGATATAAATAAAAGTTGCTGATAGTTATAAACTACAATTTGCCGAAATCAAAATAGTAGTAATTTATAATATATAATCGATTATATCTAAACAGATATAATTAAATGTATGAAATTCAAACCCATGAATTTACAAGGCAGTAGAAAAAAATCTATGAAACACATCAACACACAAACACAGAACTGGTAGGTACAGCATTTGTGCATTATTTTAAATATACTATTTTTTTTTAATTTAAGTTTAAGCGGTTTTTACCGATAAAAGCAAAAGGCCATCGAGTCAACACTTGTGATTAAGGCACACTTAAAAGAAGAGCCCTTGCGTTTCTTGGCAAACAAGGGACAGTCTCTTGAACTATTCCACTGCTTAGTTAATGGAAGCACCTCAATTTAGACACGTAACGTTAAGAAAATTGATACCTTCCCAAAACCAATAATTATGTGCGCCTTTTATAACCGGACCTCCATGAATAGGAACAATAGGGCCAGGTTTTGTGCGAATTTTTGATCCTTTGATGAATGGTTATTTGCATATTTTAAAAGGCATTCATTCATCTACATTATATAAAAGGAATTGGGGCTGAGTTTTCAGATAGAAATTTGTATTTGTGTATTTATAATTTTTTGAATGCTTTCCTTTAAATATTTCTCGATAAAACTTTGGTATAAATAAGAAATTGAAAAAAATAATATTAGAATGAATGTTTGTTACTCCTATTATAAGCATCTGAGCGGATAAAACATCCATTATTATATTATCTAAAATAAGTCAGCAATGGTGATTGCATTAGCAAAGCAAAAGGTACAATTCTGTGTGAAGCAGGATTTACTATCAGATGATCTATAGTAGCAAACTAAACTAGAACGCTGGTAGAGTTTAAAAGAATAATATTAATAACAGTAATTATACTTATTTTAATTGCAACAAAAAGTTACCAATACTAGAAAAATATCTGGACCTCGATACTAAGAATATTATCTTTATAGCTGAAGACGGCTTGACAGTTTCTAGTTTGTGCTATATCAAGTAAAATCACTTTTCTATAGAGTTCAACACTTCAAATCGGTTTTTTACCCCATCGTTCCTATAGTTCATGAAGTGCTCAATTTAGAGGAAGCACCTTTACGTGAGAGATTAAAATTGTTAAGTGTAAAATATTTTTTGCGATAAAAAACCAAACCAAAAGTTAAAATGTGACTGAATATAAATGTTAAATATTTGAACTATTTAATTTATGCGACAGTATTTAATTCTTTACGAGTATATGTATATTATACTAGCGGCTCACCCTCGCTTCGCTCGGGTTCGTCGCTAGGTACGTTTTAAATAGATATAAAAAGAAAAAATCTTTCTTTCTCACATTTTAATTATATGTTTTAATACTTACCTATTCCGGACTAAGAGAAATCCAAAAATTAAAATATCATAAAAATTGGAACGCGGTCGAACGGGATAAAAAGTATCCTATGTCCTTCTCCTGGCTCTAAACTACCTCCCTGCCAATTTTCAGCTAAATCGGTTCAGCCGTTCTTGAGTTATAAGCGAAGTAACTAACACGACTTTCTTTTATATATATAGATTATTTTCAAGATAATTCAAGAATCAGCTATTAAATAAGTTTTAGTCTTCTACTAGTATCTATATAGTAACTTTTACCGTTTTAGTATCATCTCTAGCATCGATGATATCTAACTATATAAGAATTATAGCGAATAATTGGAATTATGCAACTTTGACCACTAACAATATTGCGATCCTTAAGATGTGTTCTGAACTTAATGCCTTTAGAGGTAAAGAAGTTCTCTACGAAAGTTATGTGATTAAAAGTCTATAGGAAGCAACTTCCTTGGAAACCTTTTAGTTAATTAATTTGTACAAACAGGCTGTGATTTTGCTTCTAGTTAGATTTCTTATCCGTTTAATTGAATAATAGTACTGGAAAATAGTTATCGATTTTTAAAGTAAACGTCTGATAATAGTCGTACGATACAATCGTATACAGTAATAAAATTTCAGATATTTATAAATTAGGATACAATATTAAGGTAATTTAATGTGTATTTAATTAAATTAGCTATCATATTCCTACCGACTAGTACATCTAATTTAGGTCGACATTTAGTTTAGGTGAATTCAAACTTTATGACGCCAATCCAATATTATACAAAATTACTTGTTTATTTTCAGTCCTCAATTCAAATTCAACTCTACGTAAAAGTTTGCTGTTGGCCAGAGTGGTATTAATTTTGTATTCAGATTATAGGACGTGATTATCTATATATATGAAAACATGGGTCATAATAATAATATTGCCAAAGCAAATTGTTGTTCTACACAAAATTTGCGCTTTTGAATTAATTAATTTTTTATTACTATCTCCATCTAGTCCATCAAAGTTGTATTATGGCTAGTGCGCCGCTGAAGTCTATACTTACAGATTTAGAATACTCTATATTTGTGACTATATTCGCTGTCTCTACATATAATAAAATTGCATCTATACATATAATAAAATCGTAAATAAGCCGAATCTGTACATTAAATATTTTTTGGAAAATCTTATTAAAATAGACATTATTATCGATACAGAGGCCAAATCTATAGTTTTTAGAGTTTTTGCCTGTCTGTCTGTGACCGCATCACAGAAAAACCATTAGAGGGATTTTGATGAAATTTGGTATGATGATAGCTGGTTATCCGGGTCAATATATAGAACACTTTTTACTATGGGAAAATATCTCATCTCAGAGAAATCAATACTAAACGTTAAAACGTAAATAGCGACGAACCCGAGCGCAGCGAGGGTGAATCGCTAGTGATAAATATTAATCACTCTAACGTCTGCTCCTCCCTAGTTACAGTTAAAACACAATGTCTTTGAACCCGTCTAAGAAGATAACTGCGAAATAAATTAGCAGTAGCAGTGGGAAGCAGTCATTTATAAATAAATGAAATATATTTTAAGTACTTATATTTATTTATTTTTCAAAACAAAAGATCGATTTTTATTTTACAGAACTTAAACTTAGTTTATAGCTTATCTTGACAATAAATTAAATTTAAAGAGATTCTACACTTGTAACTACGCAACAATATTAAAAAATCCCTAAAATTAGAATTGTTATGGTTTCGTTTCTTAATCAACAATGTATAAATTTAAGAAAAATTGTTTTTACTACAAACATTTTTCTAAAGAGACGAATTTACTAGAGACTTATCACCTATACTGGATAAGAACAAATATGTGAAATTTTGAAAATTCATTTAACGAGGTGCTCAGTAACGGAGCATTTTTAAGCTCGCGCATAGATTTAACAACAACTGCGACTGCTGGTAAATATTTGTACAAATAAGTATCTCGTTTGTCTAGTATCTAACATGTACTGCAGATCGTGAGGACCTGTTTGAGAGTCGAGTCGAGCCAAAATAATACTGGGTTTTTCTGCCATGAAATAGAAGCAGTCCAGACTTGGGAAATTGGTGCTATACCTTGTATGCACACCACCAAGAAGACGTTACGCTATTGGTCCTGCGTCTACTCTCTCAAAGGTTTTGACGTGTTCTTGTCCCATCGGAATAAGAAGGTTAATGGAAGACACACACACTTATGCTCGATAATATACCCGATCTGGTTAGCAGGACATTATGATATTATTTGTACAAACCTTGCTTTATGTGAGCGTCTTGAGCGCGACGAAAGATCAAGCTCACTGGCGGCAGAGCACGCGGTGCCACCCTGCAGCGAGCCGCGCGACCCGCCCAGCCGCCGCGATCCCAGCCGACACGTCATCATTTCTGAAACAATACATTTATAAATATACTAGCAGAACCTGCGGCTTAGCTCGCGCTAAAACTACAAAAAATCCCTAAAAAGGTAGTTTAATATAAACTTTCACCCCTATTTTATCCCCTTATAGGATAAATTTCAAAAAATGCTAAAACACGTATTTATTTAATTTTATTGAAGAGTTTCAATTAATTCTGATCATAAATATTTTTTTGGATTGTATTATAACGTGTAATCCCGTGGGAAATAGATAATCTCCCGCGTTAAAAAGTAGCCCATGTCACTCTCCAGCCCTCCACACAGAAAATCATGCCAATCCGTCTCTCCGTTTCGACGTGAAAGAAGGACAAACAAACAAACAACACAAACAAACAAACAAACACACTTTCACATTTTTAATATTAGTATGGATATTCAATAAATACACAGCGTTAAAATTCTCTAAAATATCCATTTGTGTTAAATTAATATAAAAATATTTTAATTTTGAAATTTTAAAATAACATAATCTGTTAAGTGATATAGACTATTCTCAAAACAAATTGTGTAAACTTCTCACAGAAATGCACTAAATCTGATATACATAAGTACCTACCTATTAATTGCCAGAAAGAACCAAATAAGCTAAAATTCTAAGACTTTACAAACAGTCATTGAAGAGTTTCAATATGTATTAATTAGCTCTTTCCTTTTCGAGAGCCGCTTAAGTACTGATCCCCATCACGAATCATATAACATCAAGCAAATTGCAAAGATATGCGTATTTTTAAAATATGAATATTAATTGAAATTACGATAATTTGTTAGATTATGAAAGTTTAGATGTTGACCGATTTCGGCTACAGCTACTACTAACGAACTACGCGGCAATATACCAGTTGCAATGAAAAATATAAAAAGGATTGAATACAAAGGAAAGTAGACCCGAGTGAACAGTAGCAAACAATGTAAAATAAAGGACAAATAAATAGTCACATATCCTCCCGACGAAAAGGAAAATGCGTAAAAATAAACAAAAATCTGTTTGGAATACAGCCTACAGTCAATATTTGATCATTAGTCAATTCGAGAATAGCTCTAACATATGAAATACTCGTATCATTAAGTATTTTAATAGCACTTATATATCAACAAGTAATAAGAATACTTAAAGTAAAATATCGTTGATCGTCAAAACAAAACAAATAGAAATGCCAAACCTTTAAATGTCTCGTAAGGATGAAGGTCAAATAAAAGAAAAACAATAGAGACAATGAAAGCGAGCCATCTTGCGAAGAAAATAAAATGAATAAATCGAATAAAGCCTATTCTTAGACGGGCTCTTTTTATAAACTGTCGTCCACAATTTTGTTCATTGAGGCGTCACTCCCCCAAAGTTCCGGTCCAAATTACAAGGATGAAAGAAACTCCATCGTACCGCACTGCGATCTTAGAATAAATAAAAAATCATCGCAATCAGCCGGGTTAAATCTACATAGTTAAGTCTATAGTAAAAGTTAAGTAGCATGATATTTTCTTGTGGGGTAATGCAGCGGATACTAAATCTATATTTATTTCAAAAAAGAGCTATTCGGACTACTTATACTCGTATCATCGGAGCTCGGGATACTGTACGTAAAAAAATGGTATACTTACGGTTCCATCGCAATAAGTGTATATAGTATATACATATAATAAAATTCTAACTGAGCTGAATCTGTACACGAAATATTTTTTGAAAAATCTTATTGAAATAGACATTATTATCGATATAGAGGCCGAATGTATAGTTTTTAGAATTTTTGTCTGTCTGTCTGTTACCGCATCACGGAAAACCCACTGGAGGGATTTTGATGAAATTTGGTATGGTGATAGCTGGTTATCCGGGTCAACATGTAGGATACTTTTTACCGCGAGAAAATGTCTCATTTCTGGGAAAAATACAAAAACTGCAATGTAAGAGTACAGTTATATGTAAAACCTAAGAATTTGGTTTTTGGTCATCTAAACGCGGGCGGAGCCGCGGGCAATGCTAGTATTGTATAATTATGTCCGATAAAATATCCATTACTTATTAAACACAGCCGCCAATGCGATAAGATATTAATATCTAATAAGTAAATACATAATATGATGGATGACAAGGTGTGAACTCTAATTATAATTAAAATATTATAGTATATCAATTAGTGATGTATTCATACGTATTGAAATAGATTTGCTTTGCTTTGCATCGGCTGGCACCGACTTCGAAAATATCTGATTAGGTATATATAGGAAATGAAAACCCCACTTCAGTATTTTTATACTTTTAATAAAAAAAATTGAAATCATTTCATACTTTTCAATCTACGAGTATTTATTTGAAATGAAATCATGAAAACAATTATGTTTCAATTTTCATCGTTCTTGCTTAGAATGCACCTAGGAGCAGAATTCAAAATGTAATATGGTAGACAAACGAATTGTGACATGACAAAAATAAAATATAAATAAGGATGTGACGTACGTTATTTAATTCGCAGCAAGCAGCCAGTGGTTTCGGTAAATTTTAATGACATGTTACGTCGCAGTGCGGAGGACGGTTAGAGGAAAGCCTGCTCCTGTACTGTCTTACTGTTTTACCTTACACTTCGATAAATATATTTAAATAATTAAACGAGTTTGTCTTATTATTCATTACACTTTATATATCACATTATATTTTTGATTTAATATGTAAAAATTTTTTAAAGATTTATTTAAGTTAAAATATTGTAATTGCTACTACTTTACAATTAAAACATCTTAAATATAGCTACAGTTAACAGTTTAGCTAAATATATCGTTATATTTTTCTACACAAAATTCATAAACAAAAATATATTTTTTTATTAAATGGTGTCGTGTGACACCAGATAGGAACGTTCCTTATTACATAAATATTACTTTCAAGTTCTAGTCGAGGTAAAAAGAAAATAATTATTCGGATATAATTTTTTTATTATATTTTTTTTACCGATAAAAATCAAAATCTACTTAACAAAATTATCTTAACACTTTTATTTTATTCACAATGTTTCATAAAACTATATAATAATAATAGCAGTCACCAAGTAGACTATACATAAAAAAATCTTACTCCACGCATTTTCGTTACGGACGTTTTTTCTTACTCCATGCATTTTCGTTACGGAAGTTACGGACATTTTTTGCCGGCTAGGGTACCCCTCCGCATCGTCCCGTAAGGAACTTCGTTTCAAAATGTAGTAGACATAGTAACACTGTATCTCGTATTGAAAATTTTTTATTGTAGATTTTTCTTTAGAAATTATTATACTTTATAAATTAATTCTGATGTAACAAAATGTTTTGCACTTTATTAGCATTTTACATACATATGTAATTAGACAATAATTCCGTAGCTAAATCACGCATACACATTTCGTAGTTTCAGTGATTGTTTCAACTAATATTTGCATATAGGTACTATCTGCAATGCGTCGGATATAATTTAACTGTTTTTTGTCGTTTATCAATATTTACTTTATTAATCAACTACAATGAATTAGATTGTTTTACGTTCAAAAACGTCTTGTTTGTTAGAATAAGAGATAGATCAGATAGACTTTTTATTATACAAATCAAGTTTGTCTGTCAGTCTGAATAAAAAAGGAGATAGTTTTCATTTCAATCAGCCCAGTGGAAACGAAAATATAGTTTGAGCACTCGTAGTGGTACTCATAATCATAATATACATATAATGTTATATATATATACATATGTATATATATGTATATAAATATATGTATATATAGTGCGGCCGAAGACTATATGAAAATATCCAAACAGATGTTGCTAGCTTGTAATATCAAGTATTCAATAAAGGGGAAGGGGAAATAACCTAGTATTATTGTCAATATTTCGCCATTTTACCACAATGAAAGTGGCATAAATGTATAAAAAACTTCTATACAAATATAAAATATAGGCAATATGATGCTCTAAAGTGTCACGTTTAAGGATATAGTTAGTACCTGTGCGACCAAACTTCGGTCGAATTTTATGGCCAAAAGTACAATTTTCTTTTTAATTTGAATTGATTGATTTCATTCAAATGTGTTTCATATAAGTGATTAAATAAAAATAAATATAAAGATTAATAATCCACTCTAACAAATCTACTCGCCCACTAGTCAAATATTTTTCATATACATAAATTATGTTCATGTATTTTTGCTTCCTCTGCACGTAGGTAGCAACTAACTGAGACAGACAACAGACTTTATATAATACAAGTAAACAAGAAAAATACAAGTAAATATATTATATAATAAAATTATGTAAATTTTATTTAAAGAGAAGTGAATACCCCACTTTGACCTTTTTATTCCACATTCATTAAAATCTGTGAAATAGTTTGGTAATGATAGTGCTAAATCTGCGCGCCTCAAAAGAGGAAATAATGAGAAACTGTATAAAGCCTCAAATACTTGAACTGTTGCATACGTGAACTATGTATATGAGAACGAAGTTATTCATGAAGATTATTCAATTTCATAAAGTACCGTCACAACATAACATTTTGCAATTGATATAATAATGTCGTAATATAATTAAATTGATTTATTTGCATATTAAATTAATTATTTTTTTATTTTATTATTAAAAGTGAATTAGCCAAATGAAGTTAATAAAAAACCGCTTTTTTAATTAAATGGTCACATACACCGTAAATATTTAAATGTATGCCTTTTTTTCAAAATACATTACTTTCCAAATGATGATCAACTCGGCTGGTTCAATAAATATTTTTTATGAATAATATAAAAATCACCTGCTCAATCAACTGCTAGATAAGTCATCATTTATATATATATATATATATATATATATATATATATATATATATATATATATATATATATATATATATATATATATATATATAATTAAAAAATACAGAGTTCAAATAAGAACAGAACCGCTACAATGTACTACTTGTGTCGCCAACTTAAATATTTATCTCGTATAACAAACAAATCTGC